CCCCTGCCAGCAGGTGGAGAGCTGGTGAAGCCAAACAGGCCCAGGGGACGCCCTGGCCCTGCTCCCCACAGCCCCACCCTGAGGCGCCTCCTTCACTCTCCGGGAACCAGCAGGCTCAGTACAGCTTCCCTTTTGCCTCCGCCCCTCCTACGGCCGATCCAAACTGGGGTCATGAGAGGAAACACCAAACGTGGTTAGAAAGCAACCAGCCTGCTTGCTGTCCAGGGACTGGAGTGAGACAGCTGATGCCAGGGCAAGACCACCTGCTGTCCGCTGTCCAGCCCAGGAACGCTGGACCACTCCCGCCGCCGTTTCTCCTCCTCCAAGGTCTTCCCTCCCGCTCCCAGATACTAGCCAGCGCTTACTCCTCACATTCCTGAGAATCATAAATCCCCCTGGGTGGCAGAGCTGCCACCATCCCCCAGACCAGACGCCTCTGCGCCTCCTCCCTGAGGCCCACCCCCATACATCGCCTTGGGACGGTGCAGCTTCTTTCTTAGAAGTCACACCGGACTTCAGGAGGATGAAGTCCAGCCAGGCTGAAGTTAATGATACACACGCCAGCCAGCGGGCTGTGGGGAAGGGGGGGGAGGTGCCTGAGAACCCAGCGTGCGAGCCCTCCCCTCCTCTCCCAGCGCTGCAGCTCCACACAGAAAGAGCGTAGTTATTCCTCTAGCTTTTTGAAGTCGGGGCCGCTCTAGCCTCACCCCAGCTTCATTTACCACCCCCAGGGGCCGTGGAGGAAGCTGGTCACTTGCACCAGGAGGGGCGGGATTGGGAGTCCCAAGGGACCGGAGCAGACACCACCGACAGAGTCGAGGAAAAGGGGACTGGGCTCCCTGGAGCCGCTCGCCCTCACCCTCACTCCCAAAGGCGCTCAGGGTCTCAGCCCAGTCTGGGGAGAGGGAGTAGGGGTCGCGGGACGCAGCCTCAAGGCTGTAACTGCCAGTTCGCCCGGTTGGCGGGCGGAAGCACTCTCCCCCGTGAGGATCCAGTTTCAGAAAGACAAGGCGGCAGCAGGGCTGGGCGTCCGGGGCGCCTGGGTCTCTGGACTACTCTCCCTCCCACCCGGTTCCAGCCTCGCCGTCCGGCCCGGGCCCGCACTTACCCGCTCCTGATGGCTCTTCTCGGCCTCGTGCGGCTCCGGCGCGGCGGCGGGCGGCTCATTTTCGCCGCCAGCCCCCTGCTCCTCGGCGGCGGCCGGAGGCTCGGCCTGCCCGGATCCTTCCTGGGAGCGCAGCATCTCCTCCCGGACCTGGACGCCCAACTTCTGCAGCCGCTCGTCGGTCTCTGGGTCGACCACCAGCAGGCGCACGGAGTTGAGTGCGGCACGGATGCGGCTCACCACCTGCTGGTGGGTCTCTTTCTCCACGTTCTCGCCATTCACCTCCACTAGCCGGTCTCCGGCCAGCAGTCCCGACTTCTCGGCCGGCGAGCCGGGCTCCACCAGCCGGATGAACTGGCCTACCTTGCCCTTTTCCCCGTGCAGGTGGAAGCCGTAGCCGTTCGGACCCTTCTCCAGGCAGCAGAGCCGGGGTAGAGGCGCCCCGGCCGCCGCGTCCGTGCTCATCTCGCCCTGCAACGGCTCAGCGGCGTCCGGTCGGGGTCCGGAGACGGGACGGTCCACCCCTTCTTCTCACCCTGCGGGCCGGGAGACGAGAGCGAGAGCGACAGGGAAAGCGCGCGCCGCCGGACTGGCCGAGCGAGCAGGTGTCCTGGGAGCGGCGGAGGCGAACTGCGAGGAGCCGAAGCCGAAGCTCACGGACCAATCCCCGCCGTGCGCGGAGTCTGAGCGTTCCAGAGCCCGCCCAGGCTGCTTATTCCGGGGGGCGGGGCCGCGTGGAGGGTGTGGACCACCGAGGGCCAATCAGACACCACGGAGAGGGGGCGCTCTGGCAGGGTGAACGACACCGGCCAATGAGAGCGCGCAGGGGTGAGTTTCTGCTCTCAGCGCGGCGCCCCGCGGCGGGAGAAGAAAGAGGGCTCAGGAAGTGGAAGTGTCTGTTACCAAGTGGCTGGTTGAAGCCCGGGGGGGGGGGGGAGGGGGAGGGGCTCTGCAAAATGATTCTGAAAGACTGGAAGGCTCCCCTGAAAATGCTGATAAAAAAGCTAAAGCAAAGGCCTCTCGCCCAGTACGTAGCAGATTCTCAACAAAGGCTGCGAGACAGCACTTCAGCTGAGACACACAAGCGTCGGTGCCGGTGACGACACACAGGCCTCCAGAACTCACAATCTCTTCTCGGATAGAGTAGTCGGCCGTCTCCAAGTAGCTCAGCATCTCGGCCACGATCTGCTGGGCGTTGCTGCGGTCGCACATGGCGTAGAGGAGGTCCACGGCCCGCTGCCGCACGCTCACGTCCCGTTCCGTCTGGGGAAACGAGCACAGAGCCAACAGCCACATGAAAGGAGCCTGGGCAGGGGACGGTGGCAGTCCGCTGTGACACATGCCCTCCCACGGTCCCGAGCCGGGCGGCTCGGGCACCCCACCCCCACCCCCATTCCAATGCTCACTCGGAGCTCTGCCCACTCAGCACCCAAATCCAGGACCCCGAGAGCCCCTCACTTGCCACCCCACTGCCCCCCTCGCTCCGGCATTCAGACCCCGCGGCTCTGGACCGGCCAAGACCACGATCACACTCCATCCCCAGGGGATGGGTCAGAGGCCACCTGCTGTGTGGTCACAGACCGGCCCCTTCCGTGTCGCCTGAGAGCCTGTCCCCGTGCTGGCTCCCAGCCCCACCCCAGACCCTCAGAAACAAGAGCACAGCTGCTCCCCAGCACAGGACAGCATGAGAGGCGCTGCCATGGGCCCAGCCACAGGCACGGGAAGAGCAAGTCTTTCTGACCCAGGCAGTGACTGAAAGAGATGCCAAAAGCACCGAGGAGGAATTCGAGACTCCAGAAAGCGAAATTCCAAACCTTTGTACGGCCTCTCGTTCAAAACACACACCAAAAATGTCTATTAAATACACGCAAACCCAAAGGAACAGGGTCAGACGTGTTCTCAGCAGTAAGCCCAGGGCCAAGACAGTGGGTTCTGTAGCTTCCCCAGCTGCCTTCAGTTTTCTAACACGTAGGAACGCAGTGGATGTGGCTGTGTCTGACCCTGAGGAACCAACCCTCATTAGAGCAGAAGACCTCAGCCTGGCTCTTCCAGCTCTGGAATTTCAATTCCCTAAAAAAAGCAAATATTCTTCTGCAAGGAGTGAATTTTCTCGGAGACATGGACAAAATATTTCATCCTTCTACCAAAAAGAACAGTTTCTACTGATCCCAGTTTTTATTGCGACTCTGCTCACGTGCCAGGCCCAGCAGGA